ATATTGTAATTTAAAAAATGTATAATTGATACTGTGTAACAGTAAGAAAAGGTCTAAAGGAGCAGGGGAAGTGTGAGGGGTAGGGGAAAGGAAAAAAGGGAAAAGAAAAAATATGAGAAAAGGAAAAAATTGAAACAGAGCCTTTGCAAATAGGGAAGGGTGGAGGGGGTGAAGGGAGGGGAGGGGGAGGGGAAAAAATAAGACTCATGTAATGGTACAAGATCCCAATGATGAATGTAACTGTATTGTATACCTAAAATGTACCAATAAACTTAATGGGAAAAAATTAAAAAAACAAACAAACAAACAAAAAAAAACCAAGACAAAACAAACAGAAAAAGCCAGTCTAGATTTAAGGAGTAGAGAAACTGACTCCATCCTTAGATTGGAGGACTGTGAAGTCACACCGCAGAGTGTGTGTTGTTGTACAGGCGTGTGTTGCTGTACATTGCTGTAGAGGTGGGGAAGAGAATTAGGGCCATTTCTACACTCTGCCAAAGGGACCCCATAGGGATCAGCCAGGGCCTGGAGGACAGGGAAGGACAGTACAGGGTTGGGCCAGCACTGTAGGTAGGGGAGCCTTAGGTACTACCTTACCTGAAGGGGTCTCCAGTTCCCACCAAATCACTGAAATGCCTCATCCTCCAGAGAGAGTATGGTCTTTATCAGCCAGTGACCTGGCCCCCACACCAGACCTCAGTGCTCCCCTTGGGGTTATGTAGCTGCCCACCCTGACCTGCCAGGCTGGCATGCGGGTCCACTACTTCCCAGACTGTATTTCCCCTAACACTGGTGCTGGCCATCCCTCATTGCCCTGGGACAACCACAAGCACATGAACAGTTAAAGGCTGGGAGAAGCCAAGGTGCCCCCCACTCCTGTCACACACACCACCCCCGCCCCCCCAAGCATCTGGATGCCTTTCAGGAGGTCCTCCTGTGGGTTATGGAGGCAAAAGGTGCTATGATTTCAACATGTTCCTGGATACAGGTCCCATGAAATGCTGAGGTGTTAGATTTAGGGGAGGGGACATCAGACCTTGGTCAGCCTTAGGGCCTTGTGTGTATACATTGAGTTTCATGGAGGATCCTAATACCTCCACCTTTATGAGCTGTCACCACCTGCTACTCTGTGCTACTCTGTACTCAGGTCTCCTCCCAGGGGTGGCTTTGTCCTTACCCCTGGGAGCTGGCCAGCCTCTGGTGCCACTTGAGTGGTGTGAATGGCTCTGCTTGAGTCATCCTGCTGTCCCTTGTCGTGATCTAGGATTGCTCCTGCTCAGGGATGCAAGGGAACTTCAGTGAGGGGAACATCTGGGATTCCACCAGGCTAAAGAAAAAGTTGAAAAGACAGGAACAGGAGCCAGTGGTGTGTGTCCCGAGTAGGAGAAGAAAAAGCAGACAGAATAATTAATAATAATTAATAATGACCAAGCTCCTGGGTCCCTCTTGTGACTGGACAGACTTGGGGCTATAGGTCAAGGACAGAGGGCAGCTATGGAGCCTTCAGGCCGGAGAGCAGAGATTGGAGTTTCCTCTGTGGGCAGGAAATTCAAAGGTTTGGATGCAGTAAGAGGCAGTGTGACCTGGGGCAGAGGGACCTTCTGCAGCCTTGAGGGTAACAGTCTTTTGGGGTTGTATTTCTGTCTTTCATACCTGCAGGCCCAGTGTCCAGCCCCACATCACCCAGAGGACCTGTGTCTCCAACTGTCTCCTTCCAGCCCCTGGCCCGTGCCACCCCCAGGGTGAGCCGCTTGCCTGGACCCGCATGGGCAGCGGCAGCCATGTCTGTTAGCCCCTCCTTTTCCTCCTCTCCTTCTTCCACTAGCTCGCCTTCTACAGGCAGTGCGGGTAACCAGGCCAGGGCCTCCACCTGCCCCAGTGAGGTACCCACAGAGGTACCCACCAACTCTGTTACTACCAGCTCAGTGCCTTCTCCCACCACTCTGAAGCCTGTGACCACTATGACCTCCAAAGTGCCTGCTAGCCCGGCACCTGTCAGCATTGTGCCTTCCAAGGTGCCCACCAGCTTGAAGCCCCCTGGTGCTAATGTGCTCACCAATCCAGCACCATCCAAATTGCCTATCAACTCAGCACGTGCTGGCATAATGCCATCCAAAGTGCCTACTAGCATGGTGTCCACCAAGGCGCCTAACAACACAGTGCTGTCCACTGGGAGCAGCACCAGAGCCAAGGTGAGTCCTTCCCCTTCCTAGCAATGACTCACATCCCTTCCCCTTGGAGAGTTTGCCTTTCGGGTGTTGTCCTTGAACCCTTCCCAGTCTGCAACGTGTCTCCTGCCTGGACAAGTCCATGGCCTCTCCTTGAGTGTGTAGAAACAGCTGAGAACCAGCCCCATCCAAACCCCACACCATGCCCTGTGGGAGGAATCACAGTCTTGAGACTGTGCACCAGGCCAGTGAGTGGGAAGAAGGCTACTCTGGAAGAGGCCATCAGTGGTATGCTCCTCTTCCCTTGGAGTGGTCACAGTGGGTTGGATCCCCAAGAGCGTGATCTTGGGCATTATGGGCCTGTTGAATTACTACTTCATGCCCTGGCCTGGGAATGGGGCCAACCCAGCCTATCTTGTCTCCTTGCCATCTGAAACCCCTTGCAGTACTCTCCTTTATTTCTCAGGAGATCGCAGAGGCTCCAGCACCTACAGCTACTATTGGAGCCAGCTCACCCTGGCCGAAGAGCAGCTCTGGGGACCTACAATCTTCATCAGAAATGAGCAAGCCTGGCGAGCTACAATCCCAGCAGTACAGCCAACCATACTCCGGCTGTTCTGCAGACCTCGCCATCAGCCCCAGCAGCTCCCTGGCCTCAGAGCCTACCCATGGCCCAGAGGAGAATGAGTATGCGTCCTTTGGGATCCGTGTGGCTGAGGATCCCAGTGCCAACCTCATGGCTGTCAACCCTGAGCCTTGCACTGTCTTGCAAGCCCAGAAAGAGGAGAAAGAGACAAATATTGGATGGTCAGTGTCCTGGACTTCCTGGCTTGGAGCAGCTGTGGCAAGTGCCCTCCTGGGTGTGCTCCTGGCGGTGCTGTACCGGCGGCGCTCACTCTAGTGAAACCTTGGCTTACTGCACCATGCACCTGTGCTGTACCATGCACCTGTGTCACAGTGCACTTTCTCAGGCTGAGAGGGGCTGGATCAGAAGGGAGCTCAGGGACTGCAGGCTGGTGGGAGGTTGTGGTCTGGCTTCACCCAACCCTGGGGGCAACCTTTCCATCTTAGCTCCTGCTCTCTGCTTGTCGCTGAAGCTCTGGGCAGTTCCCAGAACTCGTCCACCTGGCACTGATGGTTGTCACCCTGCATGCCCCTCAGTTTTCCCTGACCAGGCCTCATCCCTGTTTGCCTAAGCCTGAAGATCAGGAGGTGCCACGAGAGAGCACATGGGGCGGCAGTTCCCCTTATCGCACCTGGGCCTCCAAGGCTCAGTTGCAGATGTGCTGACTGGGGACCCTGTAAGACCTTGCTCCCATCCACAGCAGCCCAGGCTGAAGCTGGGCACTGGAGCTGGGGAGCAGCTGGGTGGCAGGTCTCCAGGGAGCCAGCTGCTTTGGGTCCCCTGCCCCTCTGGTCCCTCTCCACTGCCAGGCAATGCTGGAGGGAGGTCTTGAGGTTCAGAGACCTAGAACTCTGAGGCAGCTGCCAGGCTCAAAGAAGACCTCTGGAGCCCCTCTCCAGCACCCTCACCCCCATTTCTCTCTTTCTATCTTTCCTGGTCACCATTCTTTTGGCTTCCTGTACGGGTTTAGGGTAGGAACACTGAGTGGGCAGAGCTCAGGCCAGGTTTAAACTTCAGGTCCACCCTTTCGGGGCTGTGTGGACCTGGCAGACAGTCAGACTTTGGTCTTGTTTCCCCATGTGGACAGAGTCTCAGCTCTTCCTTCACTAGGTTTTTCTGAGATTGAAGCATGCAGCTGTTTGTCCAGGGCCTGGCTCGGGCGTGACTGCCAAGCACCCCTCTCACCTCCCTCTGCCCCTGCCTGAGAAGCAAAGTGCACTGTGATAAGGGTGCACTCTGCATCGAGACAGCTTAGCCTGCATCCTGCTGTGCCTGTCACTAGCTCTGTGGTCTCTGGCAAGGTATTAACCACTGTGTGCCTCACTTTTCTCATCTGTTAAATGGGGGAGAGTATCTCCTAGTATTGTCATGAGGATTAAATGAATTTATCAATCTTAGAATGAGTCTTGAGATTTACTAAGGGTTGGATACATGCTGCTATCAGTATTAAATGCTGAGGACTAGAGCCCTCAGCTAGAGGTAAACCCAGACCCTACTGCCTCCCTTACCTTCTATTTGCCCCTCACTTCATCTCGTGCACTGGGAGGGAGGCATGACCGCTGGGACAGCAGTGCAGAATAGGGGTGTGGGTGTCCCCCAGCTCCATGTGTGGGATGACTAGCCACATTTACATCAGAAACACATTGGGGCACACTAGGGATGTCCCTGTGGGTTCTTTTTAGGTAGCCTTTGCTGGGCAAGTGGTAGGTATAGGAGCTATCTCCACTTCTGGGCTCTGAAAGGGATAAGAACTAGAGCCCTTGGTGACATCAGGAGTGGGCTCCAGGAAGCTTTTCCCTGCACTGCCCTAAGGGACTTCAATGACCTAATGACCTCTCCTTAGGAACTTGGACCCACATTCCAAACCCAACACTTGTGCAGGGAGTCCAGGAGCAGTCTGTTCTCGTGCTGTCTGCACCACTCCCCATTGTCCTTGCTCTTAATCAGCCCCTGTGCTTCCTGTCCTCTCCCAGGTACCATGCCAGCAAGGTCAGCGAGCAATTTGTGCTTGGGTGTTAGTTTTACTGTGCTATCACCCCGGTAGATGCAATCTGAAAAAAAAAATATACCTCAAGAAGGCAATAAGCAGCCTGAAGGAGTATTTCCCAAATGGTGGGATTTCTACCACAGTAAGCAACTCCAGGGAGCAATACCTTGGGTTGGGTATAGGGAGAGTTGGCCCTCTCAGCACTTTCACGTTATGGCACCAAGAAGCCCTGACTGGCCTGCATTTAACAGCAGCCCCATCTCAGTTGTTACCAGCTGGAAGGAAGCCTCTCAAATGCCACTTTCAAGCAGGGGTGGAAGTTGGCCAGCGTCCCCAGTGATCCGGGGGAAGGTTGGCACAGGAGGGAGTCAGGCAAGGCACCCTCACAGCCGTGGCCTGGATGGGCTGGAGGTGAGAACTCAAGGAAGGGTGGGGCAGGGGGGACCCTTCACCCACAGTGGGCTTCCTGAGGTCCTGGCAGCCCCTCCAGCAGGCAGAAATTTGAAAAGGTTTGCACTCTGCAGTGTATCTCCTTATATCTCCTAGGAATGAAATCATTCGGGCCTTGAGGTTTCATACTTCACAGATGTGTGCTGAAGGCTGTGACGTCTCATCCCATCCTTGAACACAGATGCAGGGTTCTTGGCCTATTGCATGTGTGCTGGAATTGACATCTCTCCATGGAGGACAGCCACATGCTCCCCTATGCTCACTTTCCTGTTATTTTCCCTTTCAGTGTTGCAAAGTCCACTCCAGTGGTCACTCCATCCATTCCTCACTCTATTGCTGCTGCTAACAACAAAAACAATAATAGCCCTGTGGTGGCATACGCCTGTAATCCCAGCACTCAGGAGGCTGAGGCAGGAGGATCACCATGAGTTGGAGGCCAGCCTAAACTACATAGCAAGACCCTGTCTCAAAAAACACACACACACAAACAAAACCACCCTCAAAATCCCAATAATAAAAAAATCCCAATAATAATAAGGACCAGCACTTACCCATTCTTTAACTATGTACCAGGCAGAGTACCAAGTACTTAACATATATTAGCTCAGGGCCAGGGATTTAGCTCAGTGGTTTCGCCACCTGGTGCGCAAGTGCAAGGGCCCGAGTTTGATCCCTGGTACCCAAAAAAAAGAGGTTCAAAACAAAACAACAACAACATATATTAGCTCATTTAATCTTCAAAATTACCCTATGAGAGATATCATTACAGACCAAATTTACAGCTGGTTTACAAGACTGGAGGGGGGAAGAACTGGAGGAGGCAATGACCCCCGGTCCCCAGAGCTGGATGCTTTTTATGTCCATGAACCTCAGCTGACCTAGTGTCTGGAGCCAGGTACACCACTTAAAATAAATTTTTCATATCAACACATCCTTGCCTAATATGCCAAGATCTGCCACCTGCTATAGTAGTATAATAATGCTCTATAATTAATATAGTCTTGGGGATGTCATAACAATAGGCTTATAATTATCCTGTGTGCCCAGGCTCAAAGCTCAGGCTGAGTGAGGTGAGGCAGTGGCCACAAGCCTAGAACATCAGTCCTCCGTGCGAGGAGTCCTCTGTGCCAGGTCCAAGGCCAAAGGTGAGCAAGACACTACGGACTCCCTTAAGTGGTGGAGATGTTCACAATGTGTGGTACAGGGAAACAGGCTTTCAAATCATTCTTTCATGTAATTATATAGCAATATTTATTTTGAACCCATTGTATGTTGAACATTAAAATAGGTCTTGGTGACACAGAATAATAAAGCAAAGAGCCAATGTAAGAGCCCCTTCCCACCAGCCACTGTCTCTAATACAATGGTGAGTGGTCTAACCAAGTGCCTCTGAATTGGGGGGAGAGCAGGAAGAAAGAAGGACAAGTGATATTTTGATCAATTATGCACCATTAATAATTATAATTATTAATCTGGAGGTGGTATTACATTTTAGACCCTATAGGGAATAAGATCAAATGTTGATAAAAATATGAAGCAACTGAAAAGTATAAATTTTGGAGGAAGGTAAGTTAGTGTTGCAGTGTGAATGTGTCTCCCCAGAATTCCTATGTTGAAACCAACCCCAAGGTTACGGAATTAGAAGGTAGGGCCTTCGGGGGTGATTAGATCATGAAGGTGGAGCCCTCACTAGAGATACTGAGGAAAAAGGATTTCCAGAACTGCTTCAGAGGGCCAGGGATGTAGCTCAGTGGTGCTATGCCTGCATGGCAAGCGGAAGGTCCTGAGTTTGATTCCTGGTCCTGGAAAAAAACAAAAAACAAACAGAACTGCTTCAGAATGTGGCAAGATAGACATGATAAGTGTATTTGAAGCAAGGGGGTGTATTCTGAGGGGAGTTAATGACAATGTGTCTTTTATTGTAATAAATTTTTAAAATTTAAACATTTACTGTGTTCGTATTTTTATCATACTATGTAACTTTGAAGCAAAGAACCAGCTAGTCCCTTGATCTTGGACTTCCCAGACTCCAAAACTGTGAGAAATATATGTTTCTGTTTTCTTTCTCTTTTTTTGTAGTACTAGGGATCAAACCCAGGGCTTCATGTGTGCTAGGCAAGCACTGTACCACTGAGCTATATCTTCAACCCTTTTAATTTGGGGACAGCATCTCATTAAGCTGCCCAGGCTGGGCTCAAACTTGTGATCCTTTCTGCCTCAGCCTTTGGAGTATCTGGGATTTACAGGGGCCCGCCACCATATCCAGCATGAGAAATAAATTTCTGTTTTTATAACTTACCCAATCTAAGATGTTACAGAAGCTCAAATGAACTATGACAGTTCGTGTGACCCTGTTGGGAAACTGCCAGTATCCACTAAAACCAATCATAGGCCTAATGTATATTTCTGTTTTGTTTTGTTTTGGTACCGGAGATTGAACTGGAGACTTTGGGTTTGCCAGGCAGGCACAGTGCCACTGAGCTACATCCCTGGCCATAGGCCTAATCTGTGACCCAGCAAGTCTACTCCAGGGTGTGCTCACTGCAGAAACAAGAGCATACAGTACATCTACCAAGATGTGTGTAAGAATTCTTCTAACCACCGCACTGGCCACAATAGCTCAAACTGGAAACAAGCCAAATGTCTATCCCCAGTAGAATGGATAAGTTGTGATAAAGTCCCACAGTAGAATACTAGTACACAGGAATGGATATGAATGAGAATACTGCTATACACAACACCATGGATAAATTCCCCAGAGATGATGTTGGGCAGGAGTCTGTACACAGAGTAGGATTCTATTCATTTGAAAAGTACAGAAATAAGTGAAACTGATCTTTGGTGTCAGAAGTCTTGAGAATGGGTAGCTCTAGCAGAGACAGAGTTGGGGAGGGGATTCCAGGGTGCTGGTCTGTGTGTTGATCTGTGTGTTGATTTCATGAGTGTGTTCAGTTTGTGTCCAGCCCCCTGTTGGAAATGTGGAAATAAATGAAGACCAGCCAAATAAGAACAAAGAGAAGTCATTTCGTCAGAGTTTAAGAGGCAATCAGCCACTATCACTTGGATTTGGCAAGGACTCAAAGTCAAACAAAGACTGGGAAACTGTATAGTGGAAAAAAAGAGAGCGAGAAGGGAAGACTCAGGTGTGCTGCGATCACAGGTTGTTGGCATGGGTACCCAGAGATGAGCTAACTGGGCTAATCAGGACATGAGGTTACAATGCACTTTTTCATTCCAGGCAACTCACTCCAAAACTCCTAAAACAACAAGTCTGTCAATTGTGCCCTTCCCTTTCACCTGGAAAATGGGCTCATGGTTTTTTTCTTTACTTGTTTTTTGGGGTTTTTTTGGTACGGGGGATTGAACTCGGGACCTTGTGCTTGCGAGGCAGGCAGGCGGCAGAACCACTGAGCTAAATCTCCGGCCCTTATGGTTTTCTTCTGACATGATAGATTCCGCAAATTCCAGACTTCTACCTACTCCTTAAAGCACATAAATAGAGCTGGGTGTGGTGGCACACACCTGTAATCCCAGCATTCTGGGAAGCTGAGGCAGGAGGACACATAATTTTGACCCCAGCCTGGGCAACTAAGTGATTTAGTGAGATCTTTTCTCAAAATAGTAAAGTAGTAAAAAAAAAGGGGGGTGGGGTGCTGGGGATGTAGCACAGTGCGAAGGTCCTGGATTTAATCTCCAGTGCTAGGGAAAAAAAGACCTACACTGATGATCTTGGGCTTACTTCCTCAACAGTGTTACTAGAGGGTACATACTAGAAGGGCACTCAGAGACAGCAGGAAGGTGGGAGTGGTGAGTTGGAAGTAGGCAGAATGACATGGGTGGGCGTAGGAAAATGAAGGGGGAAGCCTGGGATTCTAGTCCTGCATCCACAGCCAGCTCCTGCATCCCTCACCCCCCTCCTGGTTGTACCAGATGATGTCAAATCCTTTCTCCTCCCATGCT